GTGCCTTCTAGTAAATTAAAAAAAAAAAAAAAGGAAAAGAAAAAACTATGTATAGATATAAAACTATTTCACACCAAAATGAACTCAGATTGAAATTCCATTTTTCCACAAACTTTTTGAAGCTCCCATATTTGTTATATTAACTTCAATACATTCAAAATATTTTTATTTCATGTAATCAATATTTTTTAGATACTAATGAGATATATATATATATTTTTTTTTTTGGTAGAGAGATTTTTGTTATAGGACGCGTGCACTTGCTGAAGAGAGAGAGACAGAAAGTGAGAAATCACCCCCACACACACACCAGAGGGGATGTCCACTCCACAGTCCCTTCTCCTCCATTCTCCTCTTGGGGCTTTGGGCATGCATGCACATGTGCCCGGTGTGAGTTTTAAGCTGCAGGGTCTGGGATTTGAACCAAGGTCGACTACATGGGAGTCCAACAAAGTAACCATTACACCATCTGCTGGCCCCACTGCTGGTCCCCATTATCTCCCAATAATGAGATATTCTGCATTTCTTTGTAGTTAAGTTTTAGTGCCTATGAAATACGGCATGTATTTACACTTCAAGCACATCTTTATTTGGACTGTCCACATTTCAAGTGTGGTTAGGGGCTTCTTGCTGGGTAATAATGCAGGTCTGGACGAGGGGACATAAGCTAACATGTGCAGATGCTGCAGACTGGACCATCAGCCAAGCTCCTAGGAAGGTAGCAGACAGAGATCGTCCACCTGCATTGTGACGGCTGTCGCGCCTGAGGGGTGGTGACCAATGCTGGCACCTAGCCGTAAATAACATGGGTAGTAACTCTAAGGTGTGGCTCACCTAGCCCCGAACCTCACCTTCCCCCTTTTCCTCTCGTGTAGGAAACTGCCACCCCTCCAGCTGGCCAAGCCACCTTGCTTTTCTCCCACACAGACACCTGCATGGCACTGAAGGGCCAGGACTTCACTTCCCACCCGTGGTCCCAGGCACCTCCACCTTTTACGTGCAAACTCCTAGTCCTCAGGAGCCACCACTTCGACTGCACCTCCCGCCTGTCTCCGCTCAGTAAATGACAATTCCATTCTGCCTGCTGCCCGAAAGTCACCTTCGACTTCTCTCTTCTTCCCATACCCTCTATACCTAAAACATCCTCAAATCCACCCTCAAAAAATATCTAAAATCTGCCCACACTGACCACTCTTCCTGTCTTGGCACTGTCGCTCTGGGGCGAGCCACCACAGCCTCTAGCAGAGATCATCGCAAGAGCCTCTAACTGATGTCTTGCTTCTTTGGCCCCAACTGATCGGCCACCTGAGAACTACAACGATTCTTTTTCAAATGCAAGCACACATCAACAACAGCCCCAAATATCTTTACTGACAGCAGACTTGATACAAAAACATAAACCATTCAGGAATAAGTCTAGACGGAATATATATTTATTTTACAAAGAAAATTGTAAATTTTCATTTAAATATTTCAGAGAAAATCTAAACCATGGGGCGATAAAGCATGTCCATGGCTTGGGAAAATTTTCACAAGGATGTTACTTCCACTCAAATTATATTTTAAATTGAATCTTGGGACCAGCAGATGGCATAATGGTTACATCGTTGGACTCCCACGGGGTCAACCGCCGTTCAAGTCCCAGACCCTGTGGCTTAAAACTCACGCCGGGCGCGTGTGCATGCGTACCCAAGATTCCATGTGGAGAATGAAGACGAAGGGATTACGGCATAGCCATCCTCCCTGGGGTGATTTCTCATTTTCTGTCTCTCTGTCTCTGTCTCTCCAGCGAGCACATGCGCCCTATAGTAAAAATCTCTCTCAAAAAAAAAAAAAAATTGAATCTAAACATAGTTTGTCTGTTCAACCTGACAAACTCATTCTAAAATTTTCATGAAAGAGTTAAGTACCAAGAGTAGTCAAAGCAGAATGGAAGAAGAAAAGCTGGAGAGACACTTTCCAGATATAAAAATTTGATATAAACCTATAGTTAATAGATTGTATAATATTGACTTAGGGAGAGACCAATTATCACAACAGAGAACCAGAAACAGGCCCAGATACACATGGAAACTCAAATGACAAAAGACCTAGTGTAGCTCGGTAGCTAAAGACTGGCTTTTTGGGGAACCAGCAGTTAGCGTAATGGCTGTGTCGCTGGACTCCCACGTAGTCGACCGCGGTTCGTGTCCCGGACCCGGTGGCTTAGAACTCACGCCGGGCGCGTGTGCGTGCATGCCCAGGATCCCGAGAGGAGAATGGAGGAGAAGGGATTGCGGCGTGTCCATCCCCCCTGGGGGGTGATTTCTCGCTTTCTGTCTCTATGTCTCTCTCTGTCTGTCTGGCGAGCGCACGCGCCCTATAGCGAAAATCTCTCCAAAAAAAAAAAAAAAAGAGTGGCTTTTTGGGGCCAGAAGGTGGCATAGTGGTTTAGGTGCTGGACTCCCATGTGGTCAACTGCACTGCACTTCAAGTCCCAGACCAGGCTACCCATGTGGTCAACTGCACTTCAAGTCCCAGACCAGGCTGCTTAAACTCACACCAGGCACGTGCGTGTGCATGCGCAAGATCCCAACAGGAGAAGAGATTGAGGCATGGTCATTTTCTCCCCAACCCCGGGGGTGATTTCTTACTTTCTATCTCTCTGTCTCTGTCTCTCCGGCAAAACAGAGCACATGCCCTATAGCAAAAATCTCTTGAAAATAAATAAATAAAAATAACCAGATGGCTTTTCATTTCCAACAGATTTGCAAAAGTAAAATAGCTGCCAATATTAAAAGTTTGTGAAGATATAGAGTAATGGAAATTTTGGTACATTGATAAGTGAGTAAAATGGTGTAAATACTTGGGAATTAAATTCTGGTATCATCCAGGAAGTCTGAAGATATGTTTAAACTATGACTCACGAGTTCCATTTCTAGAGTATAAACCGTAGTGAAATTCTTGCACACACACCCCCAGGCTATATATATAAGAATAGTCCCAGCAGCACTGTTAATAGAAGGGAAAAAAATACACCTTGGAAATATTTTTTAAGTGCTTGTCACAGTGTCTCTGAGAAACGTAACTAGGTCCATGCATGTAACAGAATACTAAACAGCAGGACAGACCAGGCACGTGCAGCAATAGGGAGCAATTTCAGAGATGTAATTTTGAGCCAATTAATCAAGAATTAAAAGAATATTTAATTCTATGTTTAGAGAGTTCAAAATATGCAAAATGAAATAGCACAAATTTGCAATTTAGAAATATACTGGGAGGCCAACCCATGGCAGGATGGTTAGGGCAGCTGGCTGCCACATGGTCGACCGCACGTTGGAGTCCTGGACCTGGTAGCTTAAATACGCCAGGCACGTGTGTGTGCATGCCCAAAAACTGAAAGGAGGGGGCCATGGAGGAGTAGGGACTGTGGGGTGATCATCCCCCACGAAAGGTACCTTCTCACTTTCTCTCTCTCTCTCTCTGTCTCTCCAGTAAGTTCATGTGCCCTTTGGCAATTTGTTTTTTATTTATTAATGTACTCAGTAAAATAATAAGGAAAAGCTAGGGAACAATAAATCTAAAATTCTGGACGGCAGTCACCTCAGTGGAGGGAAGGAGAAGGTCTGGTGATTGGAGAACTTCATACGTGATGGCGATCATTAAAAACAACAGCAAGGAGACCAGCAGTTGGTATAATGGTTACCTCGCTGGACTCCCACGTGGTCCACTGGGGTTCGAGTCCTAAACCTGGTGGCTTGAAGCTCACACTGGGCACGTGTGCATGCGTGCCTGCCCAGGATCCCGAGGAGAGAATGAAGGAGAAGGGACTGCAGCCTGTCATGCCCCGGTGTGTGTGTGTGTGTGTGTGTGTGTGTGTGTGTGTGTGTGTGTTGGGGGAGGGGGGTTGTGATTACTTGCTTTTTGTCTCTCTACCTCTCTGGTGAGCACACACGCCCTACAGAAAAATTTCTCAAAAAAAAAAAAACAGGCAAAACAAACAAATGACAGCAATAGTAGACTAGCACACAGAGTTCACACTGCTTTATCCTCTCTACCCCGAATGCTTTCTCTATATGCTCCTTTCTGTCTACTCAACCCTACCAGTCAGAGGGAGTACAGCCAGGTCTCCAGGGCAGGCAGAGAGGCCTCCCTGACCTGACCCCTCTCCTACCTGACTGGCTGGGTCCCCAGGCATGGCCCTCACCCTACGCTGTCATGCCGGTCTCCTCTTCCAGACCATTGGCAAGAATACTCCTCAGACTCGCAGGGCTCAGATCTGGGCACCACAGGCCCTGTCCACGACCCCGTCACCTTTACCAGCACACTTAGTCATCGCTGAGGAAGTGTAGATGAACGACGATGCAGAAAATCAAAGCACCCTATGGAAAAGGTACCCCGTAAACCCCTTAGTTATCCTTCAGCTGCTCATGTCTCCAGAGAGCTGTACACAGAGGCCTGGTTCGGTGTTCTGGAAGGTTTGATTTCAGAGAGGAGAGGAGCCAATCCTCAACAAGCTGGATGGTCCTGCTCACTCAGGAAGTGTCGGCATTCAGAGGTTCAGTGGGGTAACTCGGGGGGAGTAAGGCCCGAAGAGGCACCAGCTCACCAGGCCAGTCTGCAGTGGCCCCCACAGGGGCTTACAGAGAGATCTCCCAGGGCACAGGCCAGCGTCAGCCCTTCCCAGGTGAGCAGGGTCGCTGTCCTTAGCCACTGTGAGAAAGCACTTGACCTGTGGTAGGCAGAGGGCGTGTTGTGCCAGAGCCGGGCATGAGGCAGCAAGCCCAGTGACCTACAGCCCAGCAGATGCCAATCCTGGACACAGGGCCACCACGCTGCCTACTTCCTGCTGCTCAGCTCACACCTGTCCCCAGCCCACACCCAGGAGCAGACCCTGGGGGTCACATGTACCTCCATGCTCAGCTTTCCAGGAGGCAGCAATAGGCCCCACCCCAACAAACAGGTCCAAGTGCCCCCCTCTGAGCAGGGCAGCTGGCCTGACCGAGAGCAAGGAGGCCTACCTGGAGGGTCAGCCAGAGCCTGCAGACGACAGCTCGTGTGGGTGCCCCATCCCCTGCACAGCCCCTCAGAGTCCAGGGAAGAGGGCCTGCCCGGTCGTCGTCAGCCGGCTGCAACGTTTCACTATGAATCACTCCTGCTGGGTCACTGCTCATTTCCTGGAGAAAGCAGAAGTGGGGCGTCAGCAGATGCCTGGCTCTGCCCACTCCCCAGCAGACGCAGAGCCGCTGGTGTTCTGGCTGGGTGACTCGGGCTCTTCAGAAAGTCCCCTTGGAGCTGGTGTGGGCCCATTCAGTGGTCAAGTGGTGCTGAGAGGGGCCAAGGACCACCAGGAAAGTGCACAGCACCGGCCTGAGTTGCATGTCCGTCCAGCAGGCACTGCTGCTGGGCACCGTCTCTCCTCTCTGAGCCTCCAGTTCAATGACGACAAGTCTGCTGTATGATGCATCTCCCCGAGTGTGTCTAAAGGGCGTCCCTGGACACTAGGTGGGCTCATCGCCCCTTCCCTGCCAGGCTCAGAGCCTCTCCTGTGGATTCCCCTCCACCTCCTTAGATCTCACTTAATCCACCAATGACAGGAGGTTAACGTCAGACCCCCAACTGTGGCAGGGATTCTCTGCAACTCCATGTCTACTGGGTTGCCGGGAAAGTCATGGTGCATTCTTGCACAGAAAAACATAGAAAAACAAGTCATGACTTTTTCAGTAACCTAATGCATTCTCACGTCTTTGTGTGTATAAGGTTGAGTCAGTTTGAATCGTCCATCCATAACATCATCCAGGTGGGACAGGCAAGAAAGTCCACCCATACGCAGTACCTTCCTGCACTCCCTGGAAGGAGTGTTGCCATGTGAGCGAGGGTGGTTGTTAGCATGAATGTCTGACCCGTAACCCGCAAGCGAGCTCACCCCCACTTCTGGCTCACAAGCTAACTGATCGCTTTTAAGTAATTACACGTGAGAGGCCACAGAATCAGCTGTTATGAGAAGCAGCAAGACTCTGAGATTGGCCAAAGATGAAAACAGCATTCCCAATGAAGCCTCAGCTCTCTCCACCACAAATTGTTGTGAGGCAACAACCAGATAGGCGATCTGCCCAGTTTAAGATATGGGTCTCAACCCATGCCGACCCCACATGCCTGTTCCCCAACAAGTGTCTGAAGTACCCCCACTGCTCAAGTTTCTCTCGTTTACTGTCCCTGGGCAGAGAAGGGGGGACCTGAAAGGGCACTACTGTCACCCTGAGGGAGCGGCACGTGTGTGCAGCAGCATAAGAACCACCTTGCAGGTGAGGATCGGCTCTGATCTACTTTAATCAAAATAATTAGTATCACTGTTAGAGAATTTCCAAGACCCATGCTGCAAAAGTGTGAGCCGTTGTCTGGTGTCTGTGTGTGTGTGTGTGTGTGTGTGTGTGTGTGTTGGGGTGGGGTGGAGGGATGCTATTTTTCTTGACAGCTGACACAAGACCCTTTCCTAGGGAGAGCGAACTAAAAATAATAGGTTTATTATTACATACACCAGTAGATGGTGTGGTGGTTAAGAAGCTGGACTCCCACATGGCCGACTGTGGTTTGAGTCCCAGACCTGGCGGCTTGAAAATCACACCAGGTGAGGGCGTGCATACCCAAAATCACAAGAGGAGAAAAGAGGAGAAGGAATTATGGCATGGCCGCCCCCTGGGGAGTGATTTTTCTCTATCCCTCTCTTTGTCTCTCTCTGGCAAGTGCATGTGCCCTATGACGAAAACCTTAAAATGATAGCAATTATAATAAATAAATAATAAGTTAGTAGAAATCAGATTCTTAGACCTGTGGATTAACTTGCCCGTAGGATGGAGTTTCACGGCATCCTAACACGAGAGTCGGACATGAAAGGAGAAAGCTAATGCAGTGTAGGCAAAGGGGAAGGTGAAATGTCGAAGGCATTTGGAGTAAAGAGTTTTTAGTAGCTGATAAAAACCTTTCCAATAAAAAACATTAACAGCCCTCTGTAAGAATTAATTTTCACTGTCATCTTGACTGGGCCATGAAGTGCCCAGATATTTGGTCAAGCATCATTCCAGGTGAGTCTCTGGGTGTCACGTTTTTGGAAGAGAATAACACTTAAATTAGCAGACTGAGTAAAGCAGATTGTTCTCCCTAAAGTGCATGCACCCATCAGCTGAAGACCTCAGAAGAACAAAAGGTTGAGTGAGAGGGAGCTTCGGCTGCCCGACAGCGTGAGAAGAGACTTCAGTCTTCTGCCCTTGGACTAGAACTTATACCATTGACTCTTTTGGTTCTTGGGCCTTTGGATTCAGACCAGAATGTACATCATCAGCTCTTATGGGTCTATGGGTCTCCAACTTGCTGACTACAGGTCTTAGGATTTCTCAGCATCCAGTCTTGTGGGCCAATTTCTTACAATATATAAACAAACAAATAAATAAATGTATGTGTGTATGTGTAAGTATCCTGCTGGTTCTGTCTCTCTGGAGAACCCTAATTAATATATTTTAACAAAGTATGAAAATAAGCTTGGGGCTGACTCCATGGCCTGGTGGTTAAGGCAGCAGGATGCCACATGACTGACCATGTCATTCAAGTCTTACACTTGCTTGCTTAAGAAACCCAGTGGGTGCATTTGCATGCACACTCTCAATCTTTAAGGGAAAAAGAGATGGAGGAGAAGGGATTATGGCATGACCAATTTCCCACAGGGGTGGGGGGTACTTTCTCCTCTCCTTCTCTGTCTTTCCATCTTTCTGTGGCAAGTACATATACCTTGTAGCAAAAAAAATAAAATTAAATAAAATTAAATAAAAAACAAATAAAAGCAAGCCTGACAGAACCAAAAGGATTTTCTAGTAATTCAACTACCAACCGGAACAAAACTCAATATTCTTTAAAAGAAGAAATAAAAACTCCTTTTACTCCAACATCTACATTGTCCAGATACAACTAAAATTGGTAGGAAGTTGAAGAAACAATAGCAAACAAACAACATGACTCATAAGAAAAGCATCTTCAATAGGAACATATTCCCAGATGAACCAAAGGTTGGAATTACCTCACAAGGACTTTAAGCAGCTACCCGGGATATATTCAAGAAAAGATGGCCATAATAGACTGAAAAGATGAGGATTTGGGCAAGAAAATATAAGGCTCAAATATAAATTCTGGAATTGAAAAGTATACCTGACATGAAAATTTTACTGTTGGGCCAACCACAGATTGTGACTGCAGAAGAAGAGGGTTAATGAACTTGAAGACAGATCAGTCGAAATTACATTCATTCCTCTGCATTGTGGAGGACTGGCTTCAGGACTCTTCATTGATGCCAAAATCCATGAACACACAATACTTTTATATAAAATAGCATAGCATTTGCATGTAGCCTACAAACACCTCCTCTGTACTCTAAATTATCTCTAGATTACTTATAATACTTAATGTAAGTGCTAGGTAAGTAGTTGTGATACTGTATTATTTTTGTATCTGTATTATTGATTATTGTTTTATGTATTATCACTTATAATTTTTATTCTTTTTTTTAATGTTTGATCTGCAGATGTGGATCCATAGATACAATCTGAAAACAGAGGGAGAAAAGCATTGAAGAAAAATAAACACAAACTTCACTGCTTTTGACCATTTTGAATGGTGTAACATGCCTCTAA